AACTAAAACACAACCACTCAATTAAATCGTTCATTCATTTTTTCATAGATAACAATGAATTCTTCTCTATTCACTCGGTTGATTCAACAAGTCACTTTTCGTTCAGTATTAAAAGTAACTCACGCAATAAATGAAAATAAAAAAATAATAAATAAATTATTGGTATGTTAGACATCTAACAAATAATTGATGATTATTAAAAGTATTCAACAATAAGAGATAAATCAATATAAAAAAACAAACACTACTTTGGCTCGGCTGGGAATTAACAATAAAGGCAGCTTCAATAGATTAATTAAGAGTTTCATATTTTATAGTTTTTTCTTTTTTATTAAAAAAGAGTGTTTATTAATAGTTGGTCCCTGGTTTTTGAAAATAAACCAACACATCACCCAAAAACCCGATTATTTGTTTATTTTTTTCTTACAAGGAAACTATATACCAAAAATAAAACGGCTTGATTTAGTCTGGTCCCGAGTTTATGATTTAATCCCCGGTTTTTCCTGTATCTGTAAACTGATAACAAAAATGTGGTACTGGACATTTTTACTATAAAATATAGTTTTAAATTAGTTTAAATATTTTTTTGTTAAAAAAACAAGGAAAAAAGCCGCAGTTTTTTTCGAGTAAAATTTTTAAAAATCTAAATTTTACTTCTAAAGCCGCGTTTTTGAAGACAAACTAAAAATTTGTGTAATTTCAATGTTTTTTATAATAATAATAATCAAACAGGATGACCAAAAAATCAAAATAAAATTGTTTATATGTTTGAGAGAACAAAAATTCAGGGGTGCAGCCAGAGCTAAAGCTGAAAGGGGGACTTATGATTATTTAATGAAACTTTTTGGAGTATCCAAGCGGGATATCTCAAATATTAAGAAAAGTCAACAACAATTTAAGTATTAAAAAGGTCAGTTTATTGGTCATTTGTTATTATCAATTAAGTTTATTCGTTTTGGCATTAAATATTGTGTTTTAGTTCATATTTTGTATTTTCTATTATTTTGCCTTATTATTAGTTAATCTATTATTTCATTTAAGTTTGTGTTGGTCTAAAATCCTCACAGCTTTTATTTTGAAATATTTGTTAATTTACAAAAAGTTCGAACAAAAAGCCGCGGTTTGATTTAAATAATCTTAGGACGAATTTGCCATTTTTTCTTCTGTTTTACACAAAATTTTCTTTAATAAGTATAAAAAATATTAGAAAATAATGTGGTACTGTGGACACTAATTCAACATTTTTTGGAAGCCAAACAAAAACAAAAAATAATGAAATTGGGGTTAAGCAATTTATTGGTAGTACCAACTTTTTGTTAACAGTTTATATTATTGTTAAAAAATAATAAATTTTAAAAATGAAACCAAAAAAATAAATATTTTCAAAAAAAGAAAAAAACTATTGATTGTAATTGTTAAAAAAATAAATGTTAGTTATTTTCCTCCATTGTTAATTAAAAAACTGACTTTAAATCAATTTTTTAATTATATTCATAGATTAATAGTTTTCATTTTGTTGGCTATTTTATACTTCCCAAAAGCGATGGTTTAAAAATAATTATGCTTTTTGAATAACCAAAAATAATTAACTAATTTAAATTATAAATTTATAATATCAAGTATTTTTTTACATTTGTTTATTTTTAAAATTTAACTCAAATTTATAATACAATTGTAATTTGTTTTTGTTTTTAATTTATTTTAATAAATTATTAATGATAATTGATTTTATGATTTTTTAAAATTAGCTAAATAAACTTGTAAATAAATATTTAATAATAATAAGTTTATAAAATTAACACAATTATATGAATGTATTAACCCTTCGAGGACGGGAAAAATCAAAATTTGTAAAAAAAATAAAAATCTTATTCAATTGTAATGTAAATGTGCCCTTTTTTCTTTAATTTTTTCAAAAAAGCTAGACACCTTGGAACGACGGCTCTAGTAAATTTTTATAGTAAAATGTTATAAATTATAGTAAAAAAGTGAATATTTTGTTGAAGTTGAGATGAACAAAGGTTCACTTATTTGCTTGATTCTTCAAAAAC